CATAGGCAAGAATGTACTCTTGTGAATATACAGGTTTTGGTGATGAAAATGGTGATTATACCCATTTCCCATGTATGTTTTGGATGTTGTTGAGAGAAAGAAAAGAATAGAAAGAGAGACGCAGAGAGTTGGGTTAGGATGAGAATGGACTGTGGAGAATAGGCTAGTAATAAGAAGAGGGCATTGAGTATGTCAAACAGTCAAAGATTTTTTTTTTTTTTTTTTTTTTTTTTTTTGGGAGGGAGTGTTGAGTTTGTCAAAAAAAGGAACAAAGTCTTGTAAATTGGGAAGAAGACTAGAGTATAATTCTGAAGTTTACTGGGTCCTGTTGACTTAAAATTTAAAAGATGAAAGATGAGGACAAATGAGAAGTCTAATTTAACACATGGGAAGGGGCAAGGCAAGAGGACCAATATTGATTTATTCTGGTGTAAAATGAAAGGCATAACATAAAGAAAGCAAAAATGTTAAATGGGTTATAATTATTATTATGAAAACCGAAGCCGGCCAATCTAATTATGCCCACTTTACACGCTACTGCTTCTAAAATCATACACTCACCCATCTTTTGTCTCCTTCATCCTTTTAATTATTCAACCCAAGAGACGATTCTGAATATGATATATCTTACGTATATGAGGTTTTAAGAACTTGACCCTTGAAAGAGAAACATATTATTATATGGTTGAAGCCACTCTCCACTTTGAACCCAATTATTTCTATCCTTATTTCACCACACCTTCATCATTCTGTATTTTGTCTTCTTTCTTTTTTTCACTGTCCTTATAGTTTATTTCTTATTCTTGATTGGTTTAAATAGTCAACCAGTCAACACGTATGATAATAAATAATTAAATCAATCCTCCTCTCATTATTAAATTAAACCTTACTCAAATCCATTTTCGTTGGTTAAATTTACCTAATTTTCTTAATATTTTCTAATTAAATTAATTGTTTCTCTTAAATATTTCTAAAATAACCTCTCTTTTTTTAATTTTTTTTTTATAATTAAAGTATTCCGATCAGTTTGTGTGTACTTCAACTAATTTTTAAAGTCTATTAAACACCTTAGAGTATATCCAAATAACTCTTTATATGACTCAAACTCTTTATTATAGAGAGTTTATCCATAAAAATAAGAATCTAACAGACTCTTTATTCTTTAAATATAAATTAAGGAATGAGTTTGACTCTCCACATCTAGAAAGTCAAATTTCACTCTCTATCCTAATTTTAAATAATAAATTACAAGTTTTCATATATTTTATTTATTATTTATCTCTCCTATTAAGTTTTTTTATTGAAAAAAACATATTCTTTCTCCTAAAATTTAAAAAGTATATTATATTTGAATAAAAATTTTGTTCTTTATATTTAAAAATTAATGAAGATGCTCTTTAAAATAAAGAATATTATTAGAGATGCTCTTACAAATTCAAATGATCAGGTCAATTGTAATATTATTATAGTAGATAATCCCAAGATTTAAATCCAAAAACTTAAAAAAATGGAGCAAACTTCAGTGACTAGGGGGTGTTTGTCTAAGTTTATAAGTTGGTCAAACTAGCTTATAAGCTCTAAAACTAAGTTGACATGTTTGTTTATAACTTTTTTGAACTTATAAGTTAAGCTTATAAGCAAATAAATAAAATAAAAAATAAAAAAAAAAAAAAAAAAAAAAAAGGTTGGAGGGGGAGGGGAGATACTTTTTTTTCCTTGATAAGCAGCACTCAGCTTCTAAGCTAGTTTGACCAAGTATATTATCATATTATCCTTGTTTAATTTTAAAATTTCATAGTATACCCTTATTTAATATAGTACAATTTTTAATCATTTTATAATAAAATGTACTTATAAGCTACATTTTACTGGTGTTTGTCTAAGCTTATAAGCTGGTCAAAACCAGCTTATAAGCTCTAAAATTAAGTTGACCTGTTTGTTTATAATTTTTTTGAACTTACAAGTTAAGCTTATAAGCAAAAAAAAAAATAAGTTGGGGGGAGAGGTATTTTTTTTTTCTTGCTTATAAGCTCTCGGCTTATAAGCTAATTTGACCAAATATATTATCATATTATCTTTGTTTAATTTTAAAATTTCATAGTATACCCTTATTTAATATAGTATAATTTTTAGTCATTTTATAATAAAATGTACATATAAGCTACATTTTATCAAACACGTCAACTACTTATCAGTCACTTATAAATATTTTAACCAAACACATAATTGCTTAAAATTTTAAATGCTTATAAGCTAATTTTCATAAGCTCAGACAAACACTCTCTAAATCCCTTGAGTTGATGACCTCATTTTAGTGTCATAAAACTCGTCATTTAGTGTGAAGTGCACGTCATTCATTGTGATGATCCTTGGAGGGTCCGCGCACTGAGAACGTTAAAATGGGGAACCACAACAACCGTCCGATGTGGATATATAGAGAGTTGCCACGTCAAACACATGGCATCACTCAAATAACAGCTGTTTCCACAGTCATATTTATTAAATTATTTGTAATACCTTAAGATTTACTATATGCCAAACAAATTTAATTAAGAAGCAACAAGCTCAATTCACAAAGAAATTGTTAATGTGTATATTGGTGGTGAGGGGGAAACAAACCACATGCAGATCACGTGTCATCAAAATTTTTGGCGCTGAGTGGAGAGATGCATACAACTCAAAACTTAGCCGACACTCTATATCAATCACCATGTGGGTGGCACGTGAATCCTCCATTTCCTTACTTTTTCACTTTGTGTTTTGTTGGCCTAACTTCACATACTGTTTCTATATTTTCATACATCAATATTTAAGGTTGGACCATCCATTAATAAATCCACAAAAAAAATATGCTTATTAAATAGAATTTAAAAACAATCAAGTCAATGGTTTGGTACAAAAGGGCTGGTGCCAAGTGAAGTCTAGGTGAATAGGCATTTTAGAGCTCTGTCACCCAATATCTACTTATCTCCGACCTTTAATTCATAAAAAGATGAAGTAGAAGGATTGTCCCCACTGTGTATTATTATATACGAAACGAAGGGGAATAGTTGTTAAGCACAAGAAACAAATGGCGATCTCCCACATGATCTGCTTGGCTATGTACAGTGCAGACAAGAAATATTCAGGCGACCCAAATTGAAGAAAATCACGCCCAAGGTCCAAGGCATTAAATTATTTTTTATTATTAAATAAATTATTACTGTTCTAGTGTGTGCATGTTGTCCTGTATTTACTGAAACTTTTTGTTTTGAACAGATGGGTCATTCTTGTTTGGTTTTTAATAATTTTATATTTGACCTACGCCCAACTAATTAGGGCATCTTTAGCCCAACGCCGTGTGGAAAATTTGCTCCAATCCAACATAAAAAATTACACCAAATTAATGTAAGTAAATAATATTATACTAAATTTAGTATAATATTAATACTATTCATTCATATCAATTTGATATGTCACTATTCATCTACTATAAAATATATTTTATATTTTTATTTTTGTTATTTGTATTTATATTAATTTGATTATTATTTATATTAATATTTATAATAATAAATTCCTAATAATTATATAATTCAAAAAATGATGAAAAATTAAAAACAAAACTTTATTCAATGCAAATATTATACTACAAAACTCAAAATAAAAATTAACACTAATTTAAAAACACTAAAATTTATAGAAAATACAATATAAACTAAAATAATAATTTAGTATTCCGGTAGCTTAATTCCAAATCTTCTAAGATTATCAAAATATTGGAAAAAACTAAAGCTATTTTTAACCTTGTTGTTGAGCTCTTTTTTGCATAATTCTTAATTGCTCATTTTAAAAAAACTCACGCAGGCTTGGATTGGTTATAGAATTCAAATCCGATTTCAAAATGTCCAATTTCAAAATTTTCTTGCTCAAGATAAACAAATCAAGGATACAAAGGCTCACATGCTCTCGAAATGTATTAATTGATCATTTGTGGGAAGAATATACTAATTCAGAAAATTAAATTACTATCAATATGGAATTTTTTTTTTTGGTAGTATTTTATATTAGATGTAATATTTTTTTATATTAAATATAATATTTATTTGATAAAATAAATGCTTAATTTTATTAAATTAGTATAATCTTCAAAGTTATTATTATTTAATAAAAATATTATTTTTAATATTTAATTAATATATACAAAAATAATTAGTAAAATAGATTAATTGTTGATTATTAATAGAAAGAAAAAGAATAAAAATATTTCAATGAATATTCTTTTTGATATAATATTTAGTGCAATAGGATTGGAGATAAAATAATAAAATACACCAAAAATCACATCAATTTGATGTGAAACTTACACCAATTTAGTGTTTATGGTTGGAGATTTTCTTAGCGGAAAATTTCAAACGAATGAGACCCCAAATCCTCAAAGAGAGATTACAAGAACAAGTTAGATGACGAAATAGCCCTGAATATTCTTGATATGCCTCCTCGCACCTTCCTTTCATTTTCTTCATGTCTGTTATTCAACTTCCGAAATTATTAGGTTTAACACAGCTCATTTCAATCTTTCGTAAAGTTACCGGAGAGACGAGATTCAGTAACATAAACTTTGGGTTTGAAGCGTTGTCTTAGAGAGACAGATTCATGAATGTGTTGAAAGTTGGAATTACAAAGAACCACATATAGACCTCCTTATTCAACAATTTCGTCACCTACTTTATATTCACATACATACAGGGCAAGGTGAAATGAATTTGTCAAGGTAGACAAGATAGACTATGATCAGATCACATGATATCATGAAAATCAGAATTGCCGGTGGTTCAGTTAAAGCTTACTAATAATATAATATTGCCTAAGAAAACGTTTTCACGAATAGATTTGTATCAGTATTTCGGTGTTTTAAAACCCAACCGGGCCGACCGATTGAATCGGTTCAAATGGGACCTAGGGCCTTCACCGAATCGGGTTATCAGTTTTCTTATTTACCGAAAACTTTAGAATTTGGAATGACGATCGACGAACAATTGAAAGTCGGGTTGTTAGAGCTTTTAAGGAGTAAATGCCGGTGAGTGCAATGGNTATTTTCTTGGCCTTAGTTGATAAATCAACACTAATATGAATGATCTAGTTAATCTTAGTTTTCCACGTATTTTCCTTTCTGTTTATAATCTGATGCATGTCTTTTTTCTGTTTATAATCTAATGCTTGTCTTTTTTCTATTGCAGTCTTTCTCAGTTTGCTAGATGGGAAGCTTGGGCAGTTTCTGCTGCAGCTGTAGAATTTGAGAAGTTGCAATCTTTCTCTAGTTTGTGCAGAATTTGAAAAAAATAAGACTTTGTGTAGTTCTCCACTTTGTGAATTTGAGAAGTTGCAGAAAAGTTGCTATTCGGAGCTTGTTAAATTGAACTTATTATTTAGGATGGAACAGGCTGTTTAGGATGAAAATGGAGAAAAAAATCAGTTGTGGTGATATCTTTCATGAAATTTTATTTTCTTTCACGTGAATAAATATGGTTTTCATGTATTTGCACATGATCAGTAATACAATTCACATTTGTTTTTTCTATTTGTTCTTTTTGGTGCCAGAGATAAGCCAGCTTTTCCTCTTGAAACTGTGATGGTAGAAATAATGTATTATCTGCTTTTAGTTAATTGCAAACATTAAAAATTTAGGTTTTTTATTTTATTTTATTTATTTATTTATTTATTTATAGGTAAACCTGCTAATTTTATTAAAAAATAAAAGAATTACATCCTAAAAATCGCACTCCCTTTTACACAGGCGAGGACCTTGGACATGCCCAAGGGACCAAACTACACAAAAAGAAACAAGAGCAAACAAGTATATACAATCCTTATACAGAAATAGTAAGACTACACAAGACAACCAAACTGAAGCCTTCACCCAGACACTGCAGAAAATATAGCAATCACGCTGCACCTCCATACACACCACTGTCCAGATTACTACTTCAATTCAAGCACACACCACCCTACACATACTGGCCAAGACTCTTGGAAACTGCATAAACAAACTGCAACCTACACACCTGCTCAATCTGCACAGTGCAAAAACTACAACATGCCCAGGCCTCATATCCAACACCCACCAATCTACACCAGATGCACAGAAATCATGGTCTCACATAAAATGCAGAAATCTAAAGCAACAATGCATAGCCATAGTAACTACTTGACAATCCAGTTGAAGCTTGGGCTGCCTCCATTACCTATTGGGACAAANCTTTATGTTATGACATAACAACCTAAACCAAACAAAAACTTCTGCAGATGATGTCCAAATTATAAAAACCAAATATCTTGGGCCCCTTTGGTTCACTATTTTTACCCTATCATATTCTACTATCCTATCCACATACACATTTGTTTCAATATTCAAAATTCTCTTCAAAATACAATACTATTATATTTAACTCAAAATATTTAAATTATTTTTAACCCCATAAGTTTGTTCATTTAGCTAAACATCCCCCAATAATAAAAGTTTATAAATTAACAAAAACACTCCCTAACAATAAAAGTTTATAAATTAACAAAAACGCCTCCATCCATCCACATTTGCCAGATTCCGACTACCACCGTCAGAAGATAGCTGGAATCTGTCGGCATGGCGCACTACCGGTTGTATATGGTCGGTAGTGCGCTGATCTGGCATTTTCCGGCCAGATCCACTGTGGATCCGGCCGGAAAAGACTAGATCTTTTGCTGTTGATGACTGCCAAGATGGCCATATCTTGGCCATCGTTTGGCCGACAACGACGGCCAAAAGATATAAATATTTTTAGAAAATGCTATTAAAAAATGTACAAAAAACTTCTCAGAATACTATTCACCTCAATTTTTTCTGAAAGACTATTCTGAAAATTCCCAAAATAGTGAACAAAACGGAGCCCTCATTGTTATAGTTTCGGCATGGGGGTAGTATCGCAAGTTTAAGAGTTGATGTTTTAAATAGTAAACATGAAAACTTTCAAAAAAATTCGAAGGTCAGATTCAGTTTCTCTTTTCATTTGTTGCCAAAACTCTCAAATTCTTAACTTGCTACTCTATTCTCAATTGAAATTTGTAGTACAACTAATAATTTAATTTGAAAGTCTATTATAACAAAATTAATTGATATTACTTGTAATGACACTACCTCACAGTTTTCTCTGAAAGTTGCTGATCATAAAAAACAACTGTTGATAGAATGGTTTAGGTGTTTTCTTATTCTTTTGTAACTATTCTGAGTGATACTGTCTCCACAGTGCCATCGATCAGTTTTCAGTTTGGGGAGGATGTGCTTCACAGAATGACCTTGCTGCATCCAGAATAGTACTTGGATCACTTTCTGCCTCCCCTTTGAAATATAGTTGTGACGAACTATCCATGTTGTGGGGATCATATAGATAATCCTTTGTTTTTGTTGATATGTTGTTTAGGAATTTTGCTCGCTAACTTTCATTATCTGATTATCTGGTTAGTTTATGTAATCTATTGCTTGTAGAATGGAGAAAGTTTTTTTAAAGTTTCATGAATATGAGGGCCTGAATGCTGAGGCTGAAATGATTCTGGTGGGCAGCTTATAAGCATATTCAGTCATTGCTAAATTCTGTGTTATTCTTAATTCTTTCTTTGATATACTTCATTAAGAATGTCTGAATTTTTTCTTTTATCATTTACAATAGGGAAAGATTTGCACTGGTACACCAGGGACAAAAACTCTGGTTCCGATACAGATGCTTTAAAAGAGGAGATAAAAAGAATTAAGGAAGAGGAGGAGCAGGCCATGAGAGAAGCTCTTGGCTTAGCTCCTAAGCGGTCTATTCGACCTCAAGGTAATCGACTTGATAAGCATGAATTTGAGGAACTTGTGAAACGAGGTTCGACTGCAGAGGACATGGGTGCAGGGCATTCTGACGCAGCTTGGGTTCATGGAATTGGTTTCGCAAGGTATAAAAACAATCAAGTATATATTCAAAGTCTTAACCGTCCAACACCTATGTCCCTTGTTATTTTATGTCATTCATAGAAGCAACCAACTGTTTTAACTTGCTTAAATTAACTTTTGGTGGATTTTACAGCAAGGCACCTCGCCCATGGGAAGATCCTAGTACGCTTAAATCCAGTGTGGAGCAGGCTTCACCTGAGTCAGTGAAGCCTGCTGATCCCAGTTCACCTGTTGGGGACACCGAAAAAGAAGAATCGAAGGATGAAAAGGAGGATGAACGGAGTAAGAAGAAAAGGCGGCGTGAGGATAAGAAACACGAGAAGCATGAAAGACGTGAGAAACGCCAATCTCGTGACTCAGATGACAGGAGGAAACATAGGAAAGACAAGGAGAAGAGGAGACATGATTCTGACTGATCAAGTCTCTAGAGTGATGTATGGTACTTGGTTTGTTTTAGATTTTTCTCCCTTTAAAAAAAATAAATTAATGTAAAATCATTTTATCTCCTCTTCTTCAATTGTTGTGATGACATAGAAGCACAGAGATCTCATATATCGCTGTAAAGTTAAGAAAGACTAGGGGTCAATTTGCTAAGTTTGTAGAATCACTTTTAAAAGCAATTCTGAGGTCCCTTTTGCCTTCTTAGGATGAAACTAACAATCACCCATACCTTTCTTTTCTCGCCCTTCTCTGTTTTTTTCTTTTTCAGTGAAAGTGAGAGATTTTCTTTATATTTTAACTTAAAATTACACTAGGTTTGTGATTGGCATCTAGGGAAAGAGAAAAAGAAGCAATCTTATTTAAGCGTAACAATTTCTTTTAATAATTGTTTTCACGATGGGGGTTTTTGTTTAGTTTATACGTATTTTAATTAAATTTTTGGAATCTTATAAATATTGATAGGGTGAAAGTTCTAACTATTATCTTTGTTAGTAATTGAGGGAAGAGATTCGAATTTATTAATATATTTAAAAAAATTTATCCATCCACTCAAATACCTTGAGCTAGTTATGAATTTCTTTTATCTATCTCCAAGCTAATGGGGCGCCAAATTTTGGATTAGGATGGTTTCCATTGACCTCATCATTCTCATCCAGTGACCTCAATGATTAGTTGTGACTTGTGAAAGGGTTTTTTAATTTTTGTATTAAATATAGTACCCCTTATTGCGTGTGGGATTGGTCCATTACGTCGATTATATTATTTGATTGGTTCGAAGGTTAGAAGCTTGGTTATGTTTGTCTCCAAGAAATGGCTTAAATTTTTTATTTTGCTCTTAATTGTCACATCATATACGAAATATAATAATAATGTTGGTTTGACAGGTGAGTCTTAATTTATTTTAATAAAAGAAAAGAATCTCTTTAATCCTATTCCTGTCCAATACTTTTGAGCAACTTATAAGTCATAATCACTCAAAACACAAGTAATCATATTATATGACTAAAGCTTTATTCGATTAGGTTGATTATCTAATGAATAAACTTTATGGGTACTAAATTTGGTTTAAGTGGCTTCCATAATTTGATAGGACGATAATGATAATGGAGTTTGGTGTCAATTTTATAAGGAATTTAAAAATTCTAATGTGAAAGCATGGGTTTGATGATTTCTACCCATTTCAATTAAAAATATCAATTATCATCAACCGTCCAATTAATTTGAAATGACATTCTGTTAAAACAAATTTCAACAGCTACTACAACCGTCAATACATTTTTCTGTAATCTTCTTGGATGGAAGACATCATAATAAATGTTAGTGGGTCTCACCTAAACCCAAAAAAGTAAATTGCTTTGCAATAACACTGACAACACTCCCTTACACATGGCATCTGACATGGCAGTGTCACCTCATCTGCCAGCTCATCAAAATGCCACGTCACTTCCTCTAAAAAATAAAAAAAAATAAAAAAATTCTCTAACCCTAAATTTCAAAATTTAGCATAACACCATGAATCAAATCTTAATCCCAAAATTCATTTTCAAAAAATTTGCAAACTGTGAAGTTCAAATCTTTCCTTTTCTCCCTCTCTCGCGACCTCTCCTGCCACCACTTGACCCCTCTTTGTCCTCTCCCCCTTAACTTCATGGACTCTCGACATGTTGTTCAGTGTCAAGATAAGATTTCAAAAAAATCTCCAAATTTATACCTATTGAGACCAACCCAATTATATTAAGACCTATCACAAGCTTTAAAGTAACAATTCTAAAATCTAAGCTTCACGCAAATGTTCAGAAAAATACTGACAGACATACCAGCTGCAAATTTAAAGCAACAGAAACACAATGATACATTTTTGAACTGGGATAAAGTCTCAATAAACAAGTCATGCTGTTTAAAAACAATAAATAGTTTAAAAATAAAAAATAAAAATTAAATGCTGCAGTATAGAGATTTATATATTTAATAAACAGCCCCCACCTTGGCTTAGTCCTCTAGCTCAAATCTATCATTATCATGAACTGTGAGTTTCTTAGATCACAATTAATCATAATTAGTCAAGCAATTTGCTACTTCACTAATTTCCTTCCATTTGTTTCCATCTCCCTAATAGATTCCAAATCAAACATCGTACTTAGTTCTAGCAATCAGCTATATTGAACATCTATTTGAAACTGAGTAACTAATGTTGATACACATTCTGTATGCCTCTTTATTTGGCATTTTTAGTAATAAACTTCCGGCAACAAATTATAATGTCACCAACCTCATCAACAACGTTTACAAAACAAGTTCCATGACTAGATTCGATCGATATCCAGCACCCACCAATTCTCATTTTTGATCGCTGCCATATGTTCACTCCTCCAGCTAATATTCTTGGATGATGCATGATATACCTTAAACACAGCAATTACCCTGAAGTTATAAACAACTTTAGCCTGTCGTTTTGAGTAAAACATAAACCAGAAAATTACGAATGGTGTGAAAGTTATTGAAAACAGAAATTAGAAAATGTGCATTAAACAAATATAATAGAATAGGGATCAGAGGAACTAAAAACCATGTCCTACTCAACAAAAAACCAATCAGCATGCGGCAAAAAACATATCTATTGACTAACATTTAGGTTAGCAATAATTCAATAAAAAATCAGAAATAAATACCTGCACACCACCACCTAGACCATTTGTTTCTGTATAATCTTCATATCATCAAGCTGCGAATCAAGCTCAGGTTTATCATTTTTCTGATGGGTATCAGTGGCAGGTGGGCTTTCCCCATCTTCAATTATTTGCTTTTCCTGTATATATTCATATAAACTTCAATATCAATTAATGAAACACAAACATTTGATAAAGGAATATGCTTTGTAGGCCAAAACCAAGCCCCAATACCAAATGCAAAATAGTTGCTTAAAAAAATAACCATACAAATGCATCGAATCTGAACAACAAATTTTGAACATTTAAAGAAAAAATCACCTTATCATTGTTGCTATCTGGTTCAGTATCTATCCCAGTTACTCTACAAACAATCTCTCTCTTTTTCCAGCAAAATATACATTAAACACAGTACTTCATTACTTGAGACACCAAAAAATAAATGAATTAAGAAACAAAACAAACTAAAAATGTTACCTTGAAACCTGGTATGAACTAAAACTTGCAAAACGACAACATTCTACGCGAGGAACATGTAAAGAAGCTAAAAATGGCTGGAAACGAACATGGCAGCAAGAACTACGCTGGCAGCAAACTCAAGTTCCCGCGAAAACTTGTCTTGAAATTCATGTTTGTAATCGAAAAACGAGAAGTTTTAGTTGGATTGAAGCAACATTGTAAAGCTTGGAGATCTTAAGGTTTTTGGGTGTAAATTTGGAGATTTTTTTGAAATCTTATCTTGACACTGAACAACATTTCGAGAGTCCATAAAGATAAGGGGGAGAGGACGAGCTGGAAGGAGAAGAGGGGTCAAGTGGTGGCAGGAGAGGCCGCGAGAGAAAGAGAAAAGGAGATTTGAAATTTAGGGTTTTGCAAATTTTTTGAAATGAATTGATTCACGGGGTTATGCTAAATTTTGAAATTCAGGGTTAGAGAACTTTTTATTTTTTGTTTTTGGGAGGAAGTGACCTGACATTTTGATGAGTTGGCAGATGAGGTGGCACTTTACGTCAGATGTCACGTCATGTTGTAAGAGAATGTTATAAGTGAGTGTTGTGTCTGCAATGTTATCGAAAGCAAAAAGCCCCTATAAAATGGCAAGTTGAGGTTATCTTAGTACTTTTAAGAAAAAACCAAGGGTAATATAGGCAATTCACCCCTTTTTTTTTTTTTTAATACACTATATGATATTTATTTTATAATATGCGACTCCTACATTTCTAGCACTCTCAACTCCCTGAAGTTCAAGAAACTACTAAAAAGCGCCCTTAAAGTATGTCAATCTAGAATTATCACCTACCTACTTACCTTAACCATGAAATCAAAGTCAGAACTCCAAAGAGGAGATAGGTGATGNTGAAATCTTATCTTGACACTGAACAACATTTCGAGAGTCCATGAAGATAAGGGGGATAAGACGAGCTGGAGGGGAAAGAGGGGTCAAGGGGTGGCAGGAGAGGCCGCGAGAGAGAGAAAAAGAGATTTGAACTTTAGGGTTTGCAAATGAATTTTGGGATTTAGATTTGATTCACGGGGTTATGCTAAATTTTGAAATTTAGGGTTAGAGAAGTTTTTTGTTTTTTAATTTTTTGGGGAAGTGACGTGGCATTTTGTTGAGAGGCAGATGAGGTGGCACTGCCATTTCAGATGCCATGTTATGTTGTAAGGGAATGTTGTAAGGGAGTGTTGTATGTGTAGTGTTATTGTTGAGCCTATTGAAGAGAAGAGCAAACTGAAATTTGATTTTGAAAAGCCAAATCACGATGATGGAACAGATAATGCCTATAAACCACCTAAACCTGGAGTTCCTAAAGTGGAAAAAACTGGTACTTTGACGATTTTGGTCTTGCCTATTAATATGAATTAACTTGAATTATGATTCAATAGATTCATTGATGCTATCTTGACATTGTCCAACTGTCAGCTTCCTTTTCATCGAAATGGAAATCGTTTTCTTCTCCATTGAGTTCTACAAATTCATCACAGGGTTCGCCTTCTTCGCCTTGAAAGAGCGGTTGTTTTTGGTGTTCTGTTAAGAAAATTATCCAGCCAAAGAACAAAGAAGATTGATCAATGATTAGTAAAAACGATGAGTTCTTACTGGATTTGGGTATTTTTTCAGTGAAAGAGCAGCAAAAGATGCTAAAGAAGGCAATTAAGGAGGAAGAAAAGGTTAGCCGAGAGGCAGAGAAGATCGTGAAATGGGCAAAACAAGCGTCAATGAGAATGAGTCCTCATGACATTGAAGATCAGCTCAGCGATGATTAGAGTGCAAACGAATGAGTATAGTTTAAGGGTTTTGATTTTTGTTTAAATTAATCTTTAATACTATAAGCTTTTTGGTTTTCTCTTTGATGCTATAAATATATAGTTGCGTTGTAAGGGTGATAATCTTTTCAATATGCTTATATACATTTTGAGAAATATATGGAATTTTTTGTTAATGGAAGTTCCAAAATGGTATCATTTGTTGTATTCGTCTGTTGA